GTCAAGCTGCCAGCATTGGTTATAGCTGTTTCGGTTTTTATAATTTTTAACAAGGTAGATGAAGGAATTAGGACTTAGTGTCTTCATGAGAGTTGTAGGAAATTTTCTTATCTTTCATATGAGATAAGGATGAGCGTTGTAGGAGTAGTATAACTCCTGATACTCTATTTTATGTGAAGGTTGCCATTTCACAATTTGTGATTTGGTTAAGTTAAAAGTTGTTTTAGGTGCTTAGGTTGATTGGTGTTGTTTGGATGGGTAATTTGGCATGATAGATGAGTTGTAAACAAGATGGGTGAGTCGTATTATGTGTTGAATATGTTGTATGGTGTGAAGTTGTTGATCATGTTGTTAATGTTGTTAAGCTGAGCTGTACTGTATGATGATTTTGCTGTGCTGTGAGATGTTTATGCTGAATTATGATGTCTAAGCTGTGCTGTATAATGTTGAGCTGTGCTGTATGCTGTTATTGTTGCTATGCTGTACAGTACTACATGCTGATATAAACTGTTGTAGGCCGAAAGGGTAAGCTGTTGTAGGCCGTAAGGCTGAGCTGTTGTAGGCCGAAAGGCTGAGCTGTTGTAGGAGATCTCCGAGCTGATATGCGTGACGACGCATTGTTTGTTTAATGTTGTTTTTGCTGAATGATGTGAGCTATATATGTGATGAGTTGTATGCTGATGTTGCTGAACTAGATGATGTGCTGATAAACTGTAGTTGTTTATAATTTATGTATTATTACATATTTATGCTAATTCTTTTCACTAGCTTACCCTTTATTATTTCCATGTGGTTTGGACTGCAATGATCATATTATGTATGGGAGCAGAGTAGGGATAAGTTGGTGTGTAGAGGCAGGTCTGTAGCTGACAGATGCGGTGAAATTACTTTTGATATTTTGCTGTTTTAGCAATTGGGTTGTATTTTGTACTCTGATTTTTAAGTCTCAAGCTAGACATATTGTATATATTTTATTTGGATATATGAATGTTCTATTCTGCGAGGTGTTGTGTTGATTGTTTGTGTGAAAGCCAGGCGGATCGTTACATTTTTTACCATCATTTGCAACGATTATTGTAATACCCAATTTTTTTATCAAGGGCATTTTCGTAAATTTTCTTAAAGATAGAGGGTGTTTGGGTAACTCGAAACGGGCTGTTCCGAAAGCGGAACGGGCCGTTCCAAGCACCAAAAAGAAACTAAGTTTAAAGATTGAGAACGGGCCCAGAACGGGCCGCTCCAAAAGGAGAACGGGGCGTTCTGGTTTTGGAACGGGCCGTTCTGGAGGGAGAACAGGCCGTTCCAGAAGGAGAACGGGCCGTTCTGGATGAGTATCAGAACGGGCCGTTCTGATTTTAGAACGGGCCGTTCTGCTTTTTGGGAACGGGCCGTTCCAAATTTAGAACGGGCCGTTCCAGTTCAAAAATTTGCGTACATATAAAGGATTCGGAACGGGCCGTTCCGAATTCAGTACGGCCGTTCCGGGTAACTCAAGTTGTCTATAAATAGGAGGTAGGGGGTGAAAAATTATAACTGGAGAGAAGAGAATCCTAGAGAGAGAAAGAGGAGAGAGAGAGAGAGAAAGAAAGAGAGAGGAGGAGAAAAGAAAAGAGGAGAGAGAAAGAGGAATCTAGTAGAGGAGGTTCTGCTAGGGGAGAGAAAAGAGGAGGGAGAGGAGGAGATTCTGCCCGAGTTTCGGACCTTGTTTAAGGAGAAAGGTGGAGATTCTGCCCGAGTTTCGGTTCTTATCTAAGGAAAAGAGAGGAGGAGGTTCTGCCCGAATTTCAGTTCAGGTTTATCCAAGTAAGGGTAGTGCTTATAAAATTAATCTAGTACATATGAACATGATAGGAATAGTATAATTTTAATATGCTACTTTATGTGGAGATTTTCATTTCACATAGTATAATTTGGATTAATTGATGGTTGTTTTAAATATTTAATTATTTATATTATTATTATATTGACAAATTGGCATGGTTATGGTTATGTTTAATTATGGAATATGCTATGTGTATGTGGTTTGGAAAAGTAAATAGGACTTAAAGGAGTAAGGTTATGGTATGGATTAGATCTCTTGGTGAGATCAGGATATAATCTTTGGAAAAATATGGAATTTGGGAATGCCATGGTGAGGATTCCAATATGGAACTTTTCCAAAGATTATATGATAAACCACTTCAGATGTTAGGTGGATTCTGAAGTACTCCTCTAAGTATTCTATTTGCTACCGGTATGAGTCTAGGCCGAGTCATACCGATGGTTGAGGTGGCCTCACCAGGGTTACGTGACGACGTAATCCAACTGTATATTTTCCATGAGAGGTCCCTACAACGCCCTTAATTGGTACCCTATGATGAAATTAACACGATAAGAATTAATAAATTAAATATTGAATCCCCTTTATTAATGTTTATTTACGTGCTTAAAATGTAAATTAAGCGATTAACCCTAAAATATCTACATTATGACGTCTATTATAACAAAAAAAAAAGATAAAGATGAGGATTAATTTTATTATCATAAAATATGTATACATTGGCATGGACGTGTATACATTATATTTTGGGTTGGTCTATATTTAGCTTGAAAATGACTTGTTGGTCTGGATAAATACTGTGGATAAATATCTGTTTAATGATATTTTATTATGATGTACTATGGTTGGTTTTATATGTGCTAACCCTTATATTTCCATGATGTGGACTGTGATGATCTCACTATGTGGGGGAGCAGATCAGGTATGAGGCTTTGGGATAGCAAGGAGTCTTTTGGATAGCTGCTTTGAGAAATGGCTTGGTTTAGAGCTTGATCAGCACCTAGGGTGTCTTATTTTGATGTTTTCATGACGTTGTAATTATGTTATCTTTTTGGATTACTATATAACTTTACTGAGGATGATGACTCTGTTATAAAAGATTATGTTATATATTTTGGAAACAATTTATATGTTATTGTATATCTACACTCTAGCGTAG